AAAGACTGAGCTATAATAAACGCACCTTCTTCTAATTCAATTAAATTATTCCTGCACCTCTATAAAGCTCTCAGGCTTCGCTAACTTTACGTAAAAGATGAGAAAAAGCTGGTGAAACTTGGAAGATTTCGACGTGTTCCGATCACCGAAGAAACGAAACGATCCATTCGAACTTAGGAAGATCCCGTCAGCCCGACAGCTCTTCTAATTCCATCAAAAACGTCGAACCCTTATCCATTCGGATCCGACCCAATCGCGAGGAGTCGTCGACGCCTTCGGCTTCCGCCGAATCCTGCTGCTTCGTCGCTATGCAAATGAAAATCCACGGTCGCGGAAAAGCCGTGGAACGTACTCGACGAAAACTCGGGTCTCGCGGATAGTTAAAGACGGCACCGGGTGGAACTTTGCGAAACCGGTTCGCGGAGCCGTCCGAAACTTATCCTATTACGAGTTTCCACGACGAAGGTGGGACAGAGAGACGAGAGGAGGCTGCGTTTCGGTCTGGCCAGCGAGTGCTTCTGCGAGGCATCGGGAAATCTTGGGAAAGCGCGTCGAATTTACACGGACGCGGCCTGCAAGCGATAACCTAGCTATCTGCGTCGAGACGGGTACCCGTCTTGGCTGGGTCCTCAAAGAGGGTGCACGAGTGACCCGTCTGAGATGCAGCAGCGAAGTCCTCCCGAGGACCGAACTTGCACGACGGCCAAGTTGACCGCCGAGAAAGAAGTTAAGAGGTTAAACAGGTTGATGAAGGTTCGTCTTCGAAACGGAAACGTGTTTAACTTCGTTCTCCAGGTGGTCCTGACGAGGGTGGTCTGGGGGGTTGTTGAAGTGGAGACTGGGATGGAGTGAGGATATGTCACTATTTTTATTTTTTAATTTTGGAATTAATTGTTCCTTATGTATGTCTATGTGGAATGTAGAGTATACATCATCTACTATACATATCAACTATATAAGGGTTGTTCTATTGATGTGAAGATTGGAATTAGGTGATGTTTATAACGAGTCGTCTTGATTAATTTTGGTATTATTAAATCATTTAGATAAAACCGTATTTTTTTTCTTTTTTGGTTAGTTATATTTTATTTTTCATTATAAAAATTAATAATTCGTGATATATGTAAATCGTGCCTATATATAGTATACGACATCTATTCTGTATTATATTGACTGTATATATGGGATGGGGTGAGTATATGTGGTAATTTTTATTTTTTAATATTGGAATTAATTGTTCCTTATCTATATCTATGTGGAATTTACAGTATACGTCATCTACTATATATACCTACTGTATAAGGGTTCTGTTGATGTGAAGATAAGAATTGGGTGATGTTTATAACGATTAGTTTAGTCTTGATTAATTTTATTTAATATTTAATTATTCGAATAAAACTGTTTTTTTCCTTCTTTTTTTGTCTAATAATATTTTATTTTTTATAATATTGTATTGGAATTAATGATTTGTGATATATGTAAATCGTGCCTATATATAGTACACGATATCTGTTCTCTACTATATTGGCTGTATATGGAGTACTAGGTAATAATAATTTAATTAATTAAAATAGTAAAATATAATATATTGGAAATATTACATCGTATTTATAAAAATATTTCTATATTATAATTGGTAATATAGGGTATCCCAAAATTTACGCAATATTTGAATTTTGTGTCATTTGCGTGGTAAAGCGTTGCCAACGAGAATGAAATACAGCCTGACAGCTGACAGTTCAGGGTTAGTAAAAATGGAGCATTTCACGAAAGAACTACGGGTCTTTATTGTTGAGCAATATTTACAATTTTTAATTAAAAACCTGTGTTTTTTACCAAAATTACTTCTCGCATAAATATTATATTATTTTAATGTTAATAAATAGATATATTTATAAATAACTGCATACGTCATATTATTTATGAAAATAAGTATGTATTAATTCATACTTTCAATAATTACAAAAATAAAAAATCTAAAACTATTAATTTTTACTGTTTTAATAATTCTATTGGCAATTACTATATGCTATTATGTCTCCATTATTGTATCATTATACTGATACCATATTATTCCATCCGCAGTTATTAATGGTTCCAATATACTAAATAAAACCGGAGAACTTTACCAAAATTCATATGTTTTCTACTTCTATATAAGTAAAATCTCGATTATAGAGAGATAGAAATCTCGCTCGACCAAGTTTCATAGCCCCATAAAGTATTTCACTTTGCAGCCAGAAAAAGCTGGTACCATTTGAACTCTTATTTAGAGTTTGGTGAAAATGAAAAATGGCCGAATGCGGGGACATTATGGAATTCCTCGAGCATCTCGTTCTTCGCGAATGGAAAAACTTCGTAATCGTTGATGATTGCGTCGGCGGATCGATTTTTGTAAATTGCAACTTGCAAATTGATACGTTTTATATCTGGTAAATAAAGCACGCGTATTTATCAAACTGCAGTTCGGTGGAAGCACATTCGACGATAACGCTGACCGGGACAAACATTACGACATTATCTGCGATAAATCGTATGTAAAATTATCGCAACGAGTGCAAATACTCTTTTTCCTAAACCATGTTTATACCAACGCAGACAACGCGGCAGAAAAACCGAGTCAGCGCGATAACCATCGAATTTTTTGGCTTTTAACATCCGATTTTTCTCCTGTTTTTCAGCGTTCTCGTTGTTCCCGCGTGTTAATAATTGGGTCGTTCATGGGCCAGAGTGATTAACTCGGTTTTTCGAATTTTTCAAAATTTTAGTGCCGGAACCCTTGACCGATGCTTAACTTTTTATAATTAAAACACAATAAATTCCTCGTTTTTGTTTTGCGCAGTTAATCGATTTGGCAAATGACCAACTCAATTGAGGACGTTTCTGAAAAAAGGTCAGTAAGCCAAAATTGCGAGTCGAGCATATCGTGTCGGAAGTTTTTATTTTAACGCAGAGCAAGTTTCATTTACCTTATTCATTAAAATAATAAATTTAAATTTTGTGGTTATATTTTTAGACGATGTACTATTTAAAAAAGGCTTATAAAACTGTGGATTTTTTCTCCAAATCCATCATAAGTTTTTATATATGATAAGATAAGAGGAGTTTAAATTTATTATAACATTGCTGACTTTATAATCGGATCATACAAGTTTGCTCATTTTTTTCAGTGGAATTCGCGACTTTTAATCAATTTTCACCATCAAAACTTTGTGAATATAACCATCTTTGTTTTTATTTTCTTTATTTTTCACTTTTATTTCTGTTTTTTATTTTTCGCGAATGAATTCGAGCAGATCTTCTCGAGAACTCGCGGTATATAAATAGCACCGTCGTCACGCGATGAATTTCGAAATTAGAGTCTCTTGTCGAGCAAAATGTCAGAGGTTTTATAGGTCCCGAAGTTAGAGGTGGAAGTGGTAGAATAGGTTATAGTTCAGACATCTGACGTACGTCTGGATTCGTAGGAAACAGCTGATGCTCGTAGAGAGTCATTCAGAATTTTCGATGATAACGAGAATGTATATTACCTTATTTTATCATAATTGAATCACTCATTTGTCAAACTGATTGACTCCATAGAATAGAATATAGGAATTTGACTTTTATCGAATAACTTTTTCCATATGAATATTTAAAAAATTTTTAAAATAGAATTAATCACTTAGAACATTTTGGTCTATAATTACATCCATTAATGGGGGTGTTAATAAAAATATTATATATAATAAATTTTCTTTATCGAACAATTATTGTTTTAAATAATTTTACCTATAAATTTAGATTTTAACTATAATCTTAGATTCCTACATAATTTTTCCAACGAAGCTTCTTTCAAAAAATTATAGGGGTCAATATTTAAATAATAATTTATCATTTTTCCATGACTCTCGCGTAGTGTTCACAAATTTTTACTGGTTTTAATCGTTGTTTTACGCGAATACAAAATTCTGATCGATTAATCGTCTGCTAGATAATCTGGGTTAATTATCACACTGTGTACGAGACCAGCAGGTGTTCTAATATTTATGAACAAAGCTGCATACTCAGCTATACAAAGGAACGATGTAACAGCTCATCTCTCTCTCTCTCTCTTTCTTTCTCCATGCATATTAAATTTACAGATGAATAACAAGATAAAAGTTGCGATCGGTTCAGAGCGTGGATTTCGCGTACAATGGCTGTCAAAAGTTCCTACCTAAGTTATATTTCTATTTTAATTTGAATATTATATTGGCAAATTAAATAGGAGCAAGTATAATAAAATTGTATCTTGCATAATTGTAAAAATTATTATTTTCAAGTATGAGTCATACATTTTTGGAGAAGTTAATTTCACGTTTCCTAAACATCACAGGTAGGAAATATAAATTCCAAAATATAAATTCAGTTTAAATCTGGAAGCCCTAATTGTGATAATAATCCGATTCTTACTGTAAGTTTCGCAAACTTAAAATTTTGAATTACGTATTTTATAAATTTATAATACAGGATTCATTTATTAAACACCCTTTTACTTTAAATTAAGAAATTTTGAGTTTACTTGGGATTCTTTGTCTTAGAAAAAATCATATAAGGAGTTTTATGAAAATATTGGTCAGCAACGAAGTATGAATCTTGCTCTAAAAAGCACAAACTTTAGAAAAAATAATTTACTGCACAAATATATAAATACCGAGTATAAAAGTAATCCTACTTTATGATACGCTGTAATAAAGCTGCACACTGGTCAAAACCTTTTGACAGCGACTGTATTCAAATACAGGAGCCACTTTAACATTACTAATCACCAATTAGCTCGGAGCAAGCTAAAAGTTTCGCTAAAATTTCCGAGAATTTAATACCATAAAGATTAGTCGCTGTTCTTTCTGATCCACGTTACCGCCAATTAGCTCGAAAGAGTTTGAGAACTGGACAAGAATTATCCGGATAAAAATGTCCCGGGATATAACGATAATACCATAACGATCAGTTACTGATCTTGCCGTTTTATGTTACAGAAAAATCGCTCTAGTCATTATCCTCACAAGAGCTGGTTTGGATCTGGATCCAAACGCCCTGAAGAGGTTGAAAGTCACGGTCCCGAAACTCGGCCTGATTCCATGGGTTGTCGAAGCGCTCGTGTTGGCCATAATGACGAGATATCTGCTTCATATGCCATGGATATGGGGTTTGCTACTTGGAAGTGTCATAGCTGCCGTTTCACCAGCGGTCGTGGTGCCTTGTCTCTTCAGGTTACGTGCCAAAGGTTACGGAGTTGCCAAGGTAAGATTATTTTATCAAGAATTAACTTGGAATTTTTCGTCGAGAAATATGGAAAAAGATTTTGTTAATTTATCAGGTTTTACTTTGTCAAATAATTATTTTAAATATTATTATTAATATTATTATTATTATTATTTTCTCTGTGGAGCACTTTCAGTAAAAGCTTCGCTATTGAATGATCACAAATCTAGGGCCATCTAATTAAAGCTGAGGCTACATTTTTATTTATTTTTTGGGTCTTTGGACCCTTGAGGTGTCTTGGAACCAAGAATTTTGTATTTTCATAATATGGCGTATTTCTAAACATTATACTATATTTCTGAAATACATCGAATTCTAAAATTAAAGCTAAATTAAGAATAAGACTCCTAGGACAAATGTTTAAGAGCATATGTATTTTAATAGTGAAATCATGCGAGATAACGGGGTTAGAAGATAATAGTATATAGCACGACAATGAGCACAGAGTCATGAATAATAGATTTTACGTACATATAGATTCTTGAATTATAAGTAATTGCTCGTGGATGGCGCATGATGCACAGGGATTTGCGACTCATTAGAGCGTTGTATTATACAGGCTTTTGTTATAGACTTTCGTCGTGTTGTAATTGAAGTTACGAGCTGGTACTTCGGAATAGGTACTCGAAGCTTTAGAAGCTACCTCAAAGATTCAAAGTTTGGTTAAAATATTCCTGTTCGAAGTTTTAGTATCTGGTAAGTTTTGATATTCGAAGATTTAGGAGCTGGAACTGTGACATTCAAAGCTTTAGTTCTTCCCGCTTTGCTGTTTGGAATTTCGGTATTTCGCGAAAATGGGTATTTAAACTTCTCACACTCAAACGCTTCCCATCTCCGAATTTTTGTTCACGATCAAATTTTAGACGATAATAAGTACACCAAGTTTAGTAAATCTAGCTAAAAAGATGGGCATGACAAAATTTCCATTATTTTTAGGATATAATGATGAATTATCAATCAATATGGCAAAGCAAAAAAATAAATAAGTAAAAATGGTGCAAATTATTAACGTTTTCTATTCAAAGTTTTGTATTTATGTACGTTGTTCAAATATTCAAAAATATGTTAAAATAAAACAATTATAAATTTAAAGAATTTAAAAAATTATATTTAAAATAAATTTAAGTTTAAAAAATAGCACCACTGAGGAGACAACTCACTAATCACTGATAACTATCATGACAGTCAACGTGTTATTCCCCATAAACCAAACTTTTTAATTCTTCCATAAACTAAGGAATTCGAAAAATTTTTCCACTATTCATTTCTATAACTCTGAAACAACAGAAACAAGATACCGAATGCTCAAAAACACCGTTCATCATTATATCCACATTTACTTGACTCGACTATCGAATCGATGAAATCCTGAACCATCATCCAAAAACCTGACACTCGATCAGTTTTAATCCTCGAATTTCCCCAAATTCGTATTCATCAAATCGCGTATAATATCAAATTTTCAAAATTCGATAGATGCACACCCAAAGAAATGAAATTCCATGCAACCAGTAATTCGAGCTGCTCCATAACTGCACGAGAATATTCGATCCCAAAAGGCCAATACGATGTCATTAAAAATTACTCGAGCGAACTATCCGACACCTGAAACAAACAAAATCGATCGGACATCGATTCCTTCAGACACACGACAGTCGTTACTCTCGCGCCAAAAAGCGTGCAGTCCTAAAACGGGAACAGCTCCCAACAGTCGATAGCTCTCCGATATACGCTAATATAATTTGCGAACACGAACTCCGTGCAACTATTCGCAGACAGCTCGTCCCTGTTTCCAGCCAGTTTTGGATTCTTCGATGCGGTTCAG